TGAATTTCCTTCCCATTTTCCACCCAAAGAAAATACAGCGCTTTCCAAAAACAAAATGCTCCCAGAGACTTCACGTTGAGTGTGAACTTTATTTGCACGTCCTACAGTTCTACTACCCCTATGAGCAATAGGTGACTAATGGGTACACACCAAGTTTGTGGAAGGATTATTCCATTGATAACTTGACCTCCAGAGGAGGAAATGCCAAGTATGAAAAAACATCTTAGCTAAGATGAGAACGGACAAATGGACATTAATGAACTAATTTAGAGACCTTAACTCAAACATATTGAGATTATGAGAAGAATGAACTTGAATATGTTGCTCGGTAATAATCACCAATTTGGTCATCCAGCAATTCCTTTTAAACTTTCAATAGTGCTTTCTGTTGTAGTGTTGTTTTCCTCAGGTCATAGGGTTGAATACATCTAGAAAAGCTCGACTAGACCAAAAATACTAAAAATAAATTGTACAGAAGGCTTTGAGAGTTTGAGCAACTTCAAAATGGAAATCCAGATACACAAACTGCCATATTTCAGTTCAAGAAATTCAAACATTTTTTTATTCAATCCGCAGAGTACAACTAACTGAGTATTCCACAATTGATGGCCAATTCTTCAACTATCCAAAAGAAAGAGGCTCAATCTCATTTCTAGTTTCTATGATAAATCTATGAATGAATCTAAGTAATTTCGAATAAAGATGAATGAGTTGTGCGAAACCATTCGGAAATTATATATAATACGTACTTGTTTGTTGTTTCCGTTGAATAGGCACGAAAATCTGCATCTGCACTTGAGCTTGTTTTGCAGATTAGTCCAAATGTTGTTGGCTTCCGAAAACTGCGGCGATTCACGGAGGCGATGAAGAGCGGACTCGGACAGAGACGACGAGGAGTTACGGCGGTGATGAGCATCGCCCGGCGTTCTAGTGGGAGGGCGTATCCTGAGCATATGCGCCATAGTGTGTAGTTTTTTACTTTTTTCCTCCAGCTTGTTTCTTTTTGTAATTTTTTATTTTTCTTCACGCACTCGAAAAGAAAGAAAAATTAAATTGCGCTCTGAGCCTCTGACTGCCGATTGAATTTTGGAAAATGCTATGTGTACATTAGATGTACACAAATTGTACACCATATAAAAGGTCAAAACTAAATTTTTTACCCTCTCCCCCATCTCTCATCCGCACGTGTGAACCTCTTCTCAAACCTCCCGCCACTCCACTTCCTTTCTTCTTCGCCGTTTCTTCTCGTTCTGTGTGCATATCTCCCTCACGGTTGTCTTCTTCTTCGCCTCTCCACTTCCATCCCCTGAAGTTGTCTCCTATCGCACACACCATCCTCATCGCGAAGCATCCCCTGTCTCCTGGCCACACTACGAAACCCGGCGTCCCTCCTGAAGAACCCACTAGCGAAATGGTCCGAACTTCACTGTCGTCATTGGCCGGGGCTTCAAAAAGAAGGTAATATCCTCTTCTTGAACACATTTCTGAGTAGTATTCTTGATTTTGAGCCCTGATTCTGTGGTTTGTGCCTCTAGTTTTTTTATAAAATCATTATGGTATTTCGAAAGTATACGCTTGAACAATGAGTTTCATGAAGTGAGAAGCACATTGTAATGGTGGTTTGGGAACCCTGAGGGGCCGGATTGTAGGATTTGTAATTTGTTTGGGGGATGGACTGAAAATGTCTGTGGCCCGACGGTTTAGGTTATGCATTTCATTATGATTGAAGTCGTTTTCTGATTTTACATTTGACTTCATTTGTCCGTAGTTTGTGATGTGTTGTTTGTGTTCCTTGATAATAAATAATTTTGTGTAATCAGTATGGTATTTTTCAAGTATATGCTTAAATTATTCAATTTGCTCAACATAGAAGGGGTTTCGGTATCTTAAGGGGCCATTATTTTGGATTTTGAACATGGGGTGTAGAATTGAATCTGTTGTAAGGCATGACTGTGTAGATATATGACTTCATTTGTGTTGTTTGTAGGAAAAAGCATGAACTCATGGTTCCCGTTAAGTCCCATTTCCCGGCACAGTATTCCCAGTGCACTTTTTTTGGAAAATTGGGTGACTTGCTGGATTCCATGCCCCTCGATCAAAGGGAGGAGTTCAAAAAGCTTCCATGGGGTCATTTTGCTAAACCTCCAGAATTGCAATTTTCTGGCCAGATTGTGCATTTGCTGTTGTTAAGGCTGGTTAAGCAACAACCAGAGGATGAGCTTTGGTTTTCAATAAGAGGGAAGATCTTTAAGTTCACTTTTAAAGATTTCTGTGAAATAACAAACCTGCCCGCGTACACCACCAGACCGACATTTGTTAAAAAAAAGCAGAAAGGTAGTGTGGCTGATATATTCTATAAAGGAAAGAAGCGTGTGACTTACCAAGATCTGAAGGAAACAATGGTGGCATTGAATCCAAAGAGGAGGACTGAGCCGTTAGCATTTTTGAAGTTCGCTTCCCTTTTCGTCATTGATGGTGTGTTGCTTACTAGAGACCACGGCACAATGATCAATGCTGATCATTTTGATTGGGTTGAAGACTTTGAGAACTTCAAAAAGTATCCTTGGGCACTCGAGTCCTATAAGCTTATGGTGAGCAACATGAAGTCGTTGATGCGTGGTCAACCAGAGAAGTTTGAAGCTTCATTAGCTAAGAAGCCTGAATACAAGAATGCTAAGTTCACTGTTTGGTCCTTACCCCACGTCTTGCAGGTTCGCTTTAACTTGGTTTGTGTGTTATTAGAATTGTCTGTGTAAAAATCTGAAATTGTCTGTGGCCGTATGAGAAAATGTCTTTAACTTGCTTTAACCAAGAATTTCTTTGGTTGTTTACACAGGTGTGGGCGTATGAGAAAATCCCTGGACTTGCAGGGAAATGCGGCCAAAAAGTGAAATCTGAAAAAGCTAGCATTTTGAATTGGAAAGCTGTTGGGTTTTTCCACTATTCTTCTTTGAAGGAACTAGTATTTACTGATGAGCCTTTAGAAGAAAGTGTAAGAAGTACTTTATAATTTTTTTTTGCATAATATGCATGAACCATTATTACACATTCAACTGTAATAATTTGAATTTTACTGCAGGATGATGACAATGATGGAGAGGAAGATGGTGAAGAAGAATCTGACGAAGAAGATACTACCGAAGAAGATGATGGAGATGATGATGGGGCTGCTGATGTGGATGTCAAACTTTTTAAGAAATTAAAGGTCATGGAAGAACTTGCACATGTAAGGAATGACATGGACAAGCTGAGGACAAGTGTTACAGGTATCCAAGCCACACTTGATGAGGTGAAAGGCATGTTATGTAAGCTGATGGATGTGGTTGGGCATGGCAAACAGCAAGCTGTCACTGAAGAGAAGGTATGAATTAAAAAATAGACGTGCATGTTACTAGTTTTGTCTGTGAAGTAAATGTATATGTGCATCAATTTTATTGTCGGTGTAGTTACATGTAACTGTCTACGCAATTATTTAATGTGCTCACGAAACAGGAAGTCACCAATGAGGACAAAGATAAGCATGATTCTGTTCATTATACACAATGTAGAGAGCATGACATTCTGGATGAGGCCACTGAAAAGAAGGTATGGTTGCCTAATGTCTGTATATGCATATGTAAATGTCTGTGAAGTAAGCTGTAAATGTCTGTACATTTACAGGAAATGTATGTGTGCTTAGTTCACACTGCATGTGAAAGTGTAAATAATTTGAGATGTTCGTGGTTTACAGGCTGAGGAAGACAATGTAGGAAGCGAGCATGGCACTCCGATAGTGGTAAATGAAGATAAGGTATGATTGCCTTATGTTTGTGCACCGCATTGAAAGTGTCTGTGCAGTAAGCTGTAAATGTCTGTACATTTACAGGAAATGTATGTGTGCTTAGTTCACAGTGTATGTGAAAGTGTAAATAATTTGAGATGTTCGTGGTTTACAGGCTGAGGAAGACAATGTAGGAAGCGAGCATGGCACTCCGATAGTGGTAAATGAAGATAAGGTATGATTGCCTTATGTTTGTGCACCGCATTGAAAGTGTCTGTGCAGTAAGCTGTAAATGTCTGTACATTTACAGGAAATGTATGTGTGCTTAGTTCACACTGTATGTGAAAGTGTAAATAATTTGAGATGTTCGTGGTTTACAGGCTGAGGAAGACAATGAGGGAAGTGAGCATGGCACTCCGGACGTGGTAACTGCAGATAAGGTATGCTTGCCAAAACTAACCTTCCAATGTTTTGTCATTTTCTAATAGTTTGTGAAATTGTTGACATTTTGTCCCCAATTAAGCATGACTCTGATGAAGATGAGCAGGGAAGTGAGGCCCTAATGGCACTTGTGGTCACCGGTGAAAAGGTACGCTTGCTTTGCAATTAAGTGTGCATAAAGGTGGTTTGGAATGTGTCTGTACTTACATGTGATTGTTTTTTTTAAGGTGAAAGATGTTGAAGCTGTTGAGCGTAGTGTTCCCGCATTGCCTAAATCAACCCTCATAAGCTTTCTTTTGGAAGAAGTTAGTGCATAATAATTTGACATAGTAATTTTTTGGACCACTCATTAATGTGAACTAACATTGACTATTTCACAGTTGAAGGATGTGGATATGGTCTTAGGAGATTGTGAGTCACCACTGCCTAAGGTTAAGTTGTTATCAGTATGTTTACTTTCAAGTGTGTGTGTGCAAACATTGGTGTTCCTGTCTCGTGCACATGTGTAAACATCTATTTTCTTTCAATTGTTTAGGATGATGCATTCTTGGATGCATCACTCACTGCCTCAACGCCTTTTGAAAATGTCGAATGGGAAGATGTGCTTCAAGATGAAGTTGAAATAACCAAAGCCCAACCTGCCATCTATGAAAGGAAAAAAAGAAAGAGGTTTGCCTCAAAGTATCATAGCAGCCCTTTCATGGATCCTTGTGCTAAGCGGGTGAAGCGAAGCGAAGTTGGAAGGGACACAGACATTTCAGAAGAAGATAAACTCTTGAATGAGCTCAAGAGTTGGACGGAAGCCCCTGCTACTGAGGAACCGGTGTGTGTGATGTTAGACATGCCAATCCATATGACTGTTGATAGAAAATTCTTCTCTGACCTCATTGCTCCACAGGAATGGTTGAGCAGTATGGTAAGTTAAGGGTATATCCATTAAGTAATTTTTACTAAGTGCCTGTGTGCACAGACATTAATATGAAATCCCTGTGCTTACAGACATTTATGCTTCAACATTTTATGTGCCTGGATCAGTACATACGTGTTTGGACAGACATTTTAATCCTTAATTTCCTTAATTTGAACCATTTTCTTGTAGCACATTGATGCCCTAACTAACTTGTTGATGAGCCAAAGATTTCAAGATCAACAGTGTCAAATAATTTCCATGTTCTTCGTGGTAAGCTCTAACATCCACATGTTATGGAGTGTAGTGTAGGTGTCTCCCATTAGTATTAAAGAAATTTGTGTCTATCATTGCTTAAATGCAGAATCTATTGAAGAAGAAGAGATTTGACAAGCCAGAAGATTGGAGTGGAGACAGATTCTTGAAACGTATTGACTGGCGTGGGTTGTCAAAGGTGTGGCTTGTTACATATATTGTGTTATCCACATACAATTAAGTGATGTTATTGCAATGCTACACATACATCTTCAACTCATTTTTTATTCATTCGCAGGTATTAATTCCGTTGAATGTTGAAAATAAACACTGGATCTTGTGTGAGGTGAATTTGGAGGAGGTCGTGGTTAAAGTTTATGATTCCTTGAAGACTTCCCGAAGTAAATGGTATGCATTTGATCTGTGCTCGAGGCTTCCTTATCTACTACAAGAGATTCAACATGACCTCCCACGTCCCTTACACCTTAGACCATGGGAGGTAGTGGCTGTTGATGGGGTTCCACAACAAGGAATAGGGTAAAAAAATATTGATAAATATACTTATGTTTATGGTGTTTGATTTCCGGTGGAATCGTATATGTGTATATGAATTCGTTATTACTATTGTGCAGGAGTGGAGTATGCGGTGTTATGGTTATGGCGTTTGCTGAACATTTGATGCACGACCTCCCCTTAACACCCGGGTGTGAGTACGACAACTGCCGCACAATACGAAACAACTTTGCAGTACGCCTATGGGGTTTTAGGAAGAAAGCATAGAAGATTGAAGAATGTATGACGGGCTGTCCATATATATATTTTTGTCCTTGTGACTGATGGGAAAAAACACTTAAACCAAAGTACTTATTTTTTGTGGTAACAATTTGTAATCGTATGCCCCGAAGTAGTTATATATGTGCTTCTGTTTTTTATGTAATCCCTAAACCAAACATATGTATATCAACTTCTGGTTTTGTGGATCATTGATCGTCATAAAGTGCGACATTTTGAATATAGTTATGGCAAACATTTTGAAGTGTTGTTTATTCATTTCGTAGTATACATGTCGAATTTGATGGTACACAAACATTTGAAAGTGTTGTTTATTCATTTGCTAAGTATACATGTCAAAATTTGATGGTAGTAAATTTGCATTGTCAATATATTTTGGGTCTGATAACTGAAAACTGTGAACAATGTCAAAATATATCATCATATGTGAATTTTTGTCATGATACAAAATATTGTGTAATTACAATGTCACGCCCCGGACCTACCGGACACGTCAACAACCCGCCGTACAGTACGAATAGTCAACCGCAGTCCAACTCATCCATACTATACTAGGCGTCTTGAATATCATTCACAATAGTACATCCATAAACAAACATAATGTAAAATAATCATTTAAATCAGCGGAAACGTTTAATACAAGTGTTTATGCCACACTTCGGCAACATGGGCGTACAAGCCCCATATAATTAATCGAAATAATATCCATGAGCATTAATTTAATGTTTTAAAAATAGAACGGAGGAAGCACGAACCACGTCTTCTCTCCCTGAGCTTCCCGAAGCAACGGGCGATGGTAGCAAGCTTTACTCCCTACCTGAAACTGTGAGGTGGCCTCCCCCGTGAAGGGGAGGTCAGTACTTGGAAGCATTTGACAAGTACAATGACAACTATACTAAGTATAATCAATGTTTCAATTTCTAAGACCCTCAAAATAGGGTGATATCATAATATAAATAATAATTTATATTTCCCACTTATTATCTCTATAATAAGTAAATTTATTTATTTGTCGGCACACGGCCCATTTCATATATTTCATTATGCCCGTCGTTAGCACGACACCGCCCGTAGGTCTTATCATCCTTTACGAGACTTGTCACCGCTCTCCGAGGCCTCACCGGGCTCTCGGGCCGGAGTCCAACATCCCGCCCCTGAACTCATACCCATCGTCCCGTAGGAAGGTAAGGTCCATTCGGGGTCCTATCTTATGTGTTACCGCTGTCGGGAGCCTCGTAAGGTCTCCGGTTCGGATTCCACCCTAACCCGTGATCACGATGTAAGTCCATGCTATCCAACCCCGCTCTCTAGAGTCGGGAAGGGCCATGGTCCTTACTAATTACCAATACTCTATCGGCTAATCCTTAAAGACTACCGAATACACCCGTAGGCCAATCCTATTCCTAGGATCAATTTATTATTCACTTTATCTTGGGTATCCCTTAAGGACTACCCCTAGCATCACTTATCCACCTTAGTATCTCTTAAGACTACTTAAGGCTCAACAATTTACAATCCAAACCTTGGATCAATTCTAACATATTTCATTCCAAAACCCCGACTAGTATCATTATACTAGTCGGATAAATTCCAACAAAATCTCATTTCAGTTCATAGTCATATAGACAATTCTCAAACTAATTTTCCATTGAAAATATAGTTCATATCAATATACAAAATGTAATCTTTAATCACTCATATATCCTTATATGAAGTTAAAATTATATTTCAACATAATATTCATAGTTAATCCCTTCATCAAGCCAATATGCTCATATTACATAATCATACACAATTTATCCTTAAATTTGTATATTATGCTCCTTTATTCATTTGACAACAATATTTTCATTTAGGCATTATTAATCATTAATAATCCATGAAAATAACATTTAACTACTTTAGGTAATCTTACGAAATTAACCCAAAGATTATAAACAACATAGTCAGCCATCCTCACCTTATGAAGTGCTGGATTAGTTGCCTTTGATAAGCCCTTCGGTCGATCCCCGTTCTAAACCGATCAAGAGTGAAAAGTCTGGACAGAAGGTGAAAGCCGGGCGGCTTTCGTGAAAGCCGGGCGACGTTCGTGGTCTGCTACCACGAACAGCTCCTCCTTCTTGGCGGTTTCCGGTGGTTTCAACTCCTATCGATTCCACGACTCTTCTAAGTTAAATACCACCATTTTATAACATTATTCTACACTTTTAAACGTGTAAAACTCATGTTTAATCCGTCGTATGATTTCTTAAAATCATACAACATAAACTAGTTAAAGGACTATATAAGTTCTTACCTCAAATCCTAACACCTTGGATTTCCTTTGCTGGTTCTTCCTTCAACCTTGGATTCAATGAGAGTGTTTCCCAGAGCTCTCCTCTTCCTTGTGTTGGCCGAATGATTGCAAGGGGGAGTAGGGGAGATGTCTATCTCAACCAACACAATAATGTGTGGGATATGGCATGGGGTGAGTGGGTTTTGTCTTGTGCAATCCCCTCCCCTATTGAGTCCGCCCCTCCCCATGTTTCCTTGTCTCAACTCATTAATTTGAGTCCACAAATCTTGTAGGAAAAACCCCGAATGGGGTAGAAAGTTCCTCCCAATTATTCCCGCTATTTCGGGCCGGTCGGATCAAAATAGCACCCGGGTTGTCCAAATATTTTTATCAACTTTAGTTGGCACTTTATTTGGGCTTTTAAAATTTATTATGATGACCCAACTAAATATTTGGTAGTCCATTCTCATATAATGGACCCGAAGAATAATTTAATTAACCTCACATTAATTAAATGTATCAATCAATAACACGAAATTTATTCGCTAGGAAGTTCAAGTACATTTTAAGTTTCAAATTCAAGTACATCCGGGTGCGGTGTCACAAGTTCACCCCCCCTTAACGGGAATTTCGTCCCCGAAATTCACAAATGCTCATTCAAAAAGAAATGCGTATTGTTCCTTCATTAAAGCCTCCGTTTCCCACGTTTCTTCTTCAACTCGGTCACTTTTCCAAAGGATTTTCACCACTGGAACTTTCTTGCTTCTTAGTTTCTTTACTTGCCTATCAAGTATCCTCACCGGCCGTACGGCATAGTTTAAGTCTTCACGTATTTCCACGGGTGGCTTCTCTAACACGTGCGACGGATCCGGCACATATTTCTTAAGCATAGACACGTGAAACACGTTATGTATCTTCTCCAATTCTGGAGTCAACTGCAATCGGTATGCTACGGCCCCAATTCTTTCAAGAATCACAAATGGCCCTATGTAGCGGGGGTTAAGTTTCCCTCGGCTTTGAAATCGGATGATTCCTTTCCAGGGTGAAACTTTCAAGAACACCTCATCTCCCACCTTAAACTCTAAGGCCCTCCGACGCTTATCGGCATAGCTCTTCTGTCTATCCTGGGCCGCCTTAAGCCTTTCGCGAATCATCTTCACTTTAGACTTGGTGATCTCCACCAATTCTGTGCTCTCGAGTTTGGCCATGCCAACCTCATCCCAACACAAAGGTGTACGACATCTCCTCCCATACAATGCCTCGTATGGAGGCATGCCAATACTCGCCTGATAACTGTTGTTATAGGCAAACTCCACGAGTGCTAAATGGTTATCCCAACTTCCTTGGAACTCCAATGCACAAGCTCTCAACATATCTTCTAAGATCTGTATAACCCTCTCAGATTGTCCATCCGTCTGTGGATGAAAAGCAGTGCTAAACTTCAATTTCGTCCCCATAGACTCTTGGAACTTCGGCCAAAATCGTGATGTGAATCGTGGATCCCTGTCGGACACAATGGTTATAGGAACGCCATGTAGCCTCACGATCTCATCCACATACAACTTGGCTAACCTCTCAAGTGCATAGGTAGTGTTGATAGGTAGAAAATGTGCACTCTTTGTAAGCCTATCAACCACAACCCATACGGCATCATAATTCTTCACTGTCCGTGGTAGCCCTACCACGAAATCCATAGTCACATGCTCCCATTTCCACTCGGGAATGGAAAGTGGCTGCAATAACCCGGCTGGATGCTGATGTTCTGCCTTGACTTGCTGACAAGTAAGGCATCGACTGATGTACTCGGCTATTTCCCTCTTCATACCAGACCACCAGTAACTTTCTTTCAAGTCACGATACATTTTCGTGCCCCCCGGGTGCATGGCATACGCCGATGAATGGGCTTCCTCTAGGATGGACTTTCGGAGCTCATCATCTGCCGGTACACACACTCGGTCACGAAATAGTAAGAGACCATCATCTCTTTCCCTGAAGTCCTCCACCGGTCCCGCTTGCATGCGTTCCCGGACCTTTATAATTTCTTCGTCAGTTCCCTGGCTCTTCTTGATCTCGTCAAGCAAGGTAGGTCTTACCTCAAACCGTGCCAATAAGGCTCCATTACTGGACACCTCCAGTTGGGCTCTTAAAGCCCTCAAGTTAGCTATCAATGCCACAGATGAGCTCTTCCGGCTCAAGGCATCTGCCACCACATTGGCCTTGCCTGGATGGTACTCAATCACCAAGTGGTAGTCTTTTATCAACTCCATCCACCGTCTTTGCCTCATGTTCAACTCTTTCTGAGTAAACACGTACTTCAAGCTCTTGTGGTCAG